ATTCTGAAGGTGACTTCCTGCTGAAGGGCTTTTGGTTCCAGGGATGAGACTCTATCAACTTCCACTGGCAGTGAATGAACTCTTGTGGCATAGCTGTTAGAGCAACTGGATAGCGTAGACAGTGCAGAGCTCCTCAGAAAAAGATGATCTACAGTCTCTCGAGGTACTGCTGTTAAAGCCCCGTGTGGAGCAGCAGTTAAAGTCTCACGAGGAAGTGCATCTAATGGTTCATACTGAACCATATCATAAGGTTTGCTTCCCATCATCTTTGTTCTATCAGTAGAAGGACAATCTTGAAGACGTCGCGAGACTGCAATAAGTGCCTTCTTTACAGATGACACTCTGCCTTCTATCTACCACAGTCCACAAATCCAGAACATGTTTTGTCAGCATAAAAAGAGAAACTTTGCACAGCATAAATAATTTGAAGGTCATTTACATATTTACAAATCCTTGATTTGTTAGTTGAGAAAATATTACCTATCTTAACCCATGAAATCCAAAATATGCCTTATCAAAGGTAGTCAAAGGCAAAAGATGCTCTAAGGGACAAGACCTCCCTAATACCCTCACAAAAAATACACTGCTAGCAACCAAACTCTCACCTCCAGTTTTAATTAAACAATAATGAATCGACACTCAAACTTATTAAAGAGAAAAGTTAACTACAAACTAACTATTAAAAAAAACAATCCAATCCATGAACCAAATACATTCAGAGAATGTGAAAGCAAAAGGGGATAACTTTCAGCTTCTTATTTTGGGATTTTTTTTCTTGTAAAGAAATCATTTTCTTTCATTGAAAAATAATGTCTCTCAATATCCATTTTTGTGAGGCAAATGTACAAGATTATATTAATTATATTAATATTAGTTATCAATTTAGATCTTTTGTTATATTACTCATATTTCATCTCGTTTTAGTTCATTTGAGATTTTTTCTTCATCTATAAGTGTGTGCGGGCGCGTGCGTGAGTGTGTGGATAAAAGGCATGCATATGAGCTGAACCAGTGTTTATGGGCTAAAAACACTAGCTGTGTTAGTGTGTCTGTCTTATAGTCCATTCTTAATGGATAATAAATAACGGATAATAAATAACGGATAATAAATAACCAAAAAGTGTTTCATACTTCATTTAATTTCAGTTCATTTGAGTGTTTTTCTCTCTCTCTCTATGACTATGTATGTGCTTCGGCACGTGTGCACAAGCGTGATGGTAAGGGCATGTGTGTGCGCCAAACCAATACACGTGGGAATGAGAATGCACGTGTATTGAACCCGTGTTTATAGGCTAAAAACACTAGCTGTGTTTGTTTGGGTCCATGTCAGAATCAGTGCTTCATTGATAATAATAACTGATAACCAATCTGAACTTCATAGATAACAAATAACCGATAAGAATGTCATAAATAACAACTAACCAATAACCAATAACCGATAGATAACAAATAACCAATAACCGCTAACTGATAACCGTCAACCGATAGATAAAACATAACCGATAACCGTCAACCAATAACCAATAGATAAAACATAACCGATAACCGTCAACCAATAACGGATCTGAGCTTCATAGATAACAAATAACCTATAACTATTATGAGTTTCATTGATAACAAATAAGCAAAACAACAACCTATCAAACTGTCCCCTCTACTCCACACAGGCATTAACCTTTTCAACTTCAAGAGTATCCAAGGAAGTTTCTCAACATCACAAATCTTCTATGAACAACTCCAATGCAGTATGCCAGTATCCTACAATATCAGAAAAAACTAATCCCACTACACGCCTATCAGCTCAACACGAAATGTTTAACCTTAAAAACACGAGTGGACACTCGACAACCAAGCAGAACAAACACCAGCAGTAGCAGTCAAACGCCTTAGTGATGTTAACCTAAAATGTCAAATGACAAGTGAGAAAGTAAATAAGAGCATGAATAAGAATCCATACCTCAATAATTTCATCAGAAGCCGAGGCGCATGGCGGCAAATCATCATTCAGAACCCTAATTTTACATCCAGTGTCTTTTTTGATCCTCTCCACCACCTTCCCTCCCTTGCCAATAACAGAACCGGCCTGCGCGGAGTCCGCCACCAGCCGGCAGGACATCATGCGGTCCCCAACCTCGAGGCCTTCCGTCTCCGCGGCCACATCGAGGATTCTATCGAACACCTTCAGCAGCGCTTCCTGCGCCTTCGAAACCTTCACGACCTCTTCGTTTCTCAGCACGACCTCGCCACTGAGCACGGCGTCGGCGATGACAAGGATGACGCGGTCCGGCGACTCCGGCGGCGCGTCCTCGATTCGGATCTTGGCGCCGGTGGACTTCTGGAGCGTCTTGATGACGGAGCCGGACTTGCCGATTACGCCGCCGATGCGGGAGGAATTGCAGAGGAGGCGGAAGGCCACGTGGCCGGACGGCACCGGGAGCGGCGGCGGTGGCCTGGATGACCTGGAACGCTTGGAAGATCCGTTGGTTGAAAAAGGGTTAGGGTCGGGTGCGGAGCGTTTAACTGGCGGAGAGAGAAAGGTGCTTCCCATAATTCTCTCTCTCTCTCGGAATTGAGTGAAGCTTTGATGAAGAAGAAGAGTTGCAGAAGAGGGAGTTCGGTTGCTAAAATGCGCCGAGGGAGAAGGGCCTTGTGCGCACTGCGCCTAGGGTTTCCCAACGCGCGCAAACCTGGACTTTGTCACTGTTTTTTATTTTATTTTATCTCTGAGGATCCATTTGGGAGACGTTGATCACTTGATGATGGTCTCACAGACCGCCAGTAGTTATATAATACGATAAAATTGAGTGAATTTAACTAAACATCATACTTCATTATATTTTTCATGTTTTATCTACTCAAGAAATCAAATTTGATCATTGATTATCGTTAAATAAAAGATATAATAAATGCAATGCACTATTAAATATTATACAAAAATACAAATTTTTTATTATTAGAGTTGTATTTTTATTAGACTTAAATCGATCATATATATTGTGTTATTCAATCTCGACAGAGCTTTTACGTAAAGATTATGAACCAAACATATTTGGTAATTGTAACGACTTAATAAAAATTCTAAAAAATTAAAAGAAACTATTTGATAAGTTAAACATGTTGGAAATATGCAAAACCAAATGATCAAAACGTTGAGATTAAGGTTCATGAAACATATTAAAATATTAGGGTCATGAAGTCTTGTTACTAGGTTAAAAGAATGTTGAGATTCAGGATTATTAAACATATTGAAATATTAGGGTCATGAAGTCTTGTTACTAGGTTAAAAGAATGCGAATCTTCAAGGAGATGCACATTCATTCTGACATAATCTAGAGAGAAAGGAGAAATTTTTAAGTGTTTCGATAGTAAGGACATCTTTATGGTCGAAACAAGAGCGGTCATTTTAAAACCCTTTCATTTCCCATTTTCTTCTTTCATTGTAACCTGAAACTCTATAATTGACATGTACTTTTTGCCCAAATCAAAAGTAAGAAGTGTATACATTGTTGACATACTTATGCTTCATTTTCTTTTATAGAATTTATAAATGTTGGTAGTATACCAAAAGTGTAACAAGGGTTAATCCACTTTTGACATTTTTCTTAGTGTTTTGTAAGTGGAAAAAAGAGTGACATGACTAAAAAAAGCAAAAGATAACTAATGAATATATTCAAATCAAGGTAAATTCCCAATTTAAAAAAAAGTATATCATTGTAGCAACCCACCATGGCATCTTGTTAGGCAAGAGGATGGAGAAAAAGAGTAGGTTTCCAATATTGCAGCCGAATGAAGTCCTAGCTAACGACAGTCGCGTTATGATTGGCAATGATAAGAATCGAAGAAAAAGAAGAGAAAAAGAAAGAAAAAACAAGTCATTGAAAATCATTTAGTTGACAAAGGATAACAAAACGTTGTAACTTGTGACAAAGTTAATTTTGAGGTGAATTCTAAAACATAGATAGTGTACAAATGAATCATTGAAATAGACTATTAAATATAATATTATTATAATAAATGATTATATTGGTTATTGATTACCTATTAGATAAGAAATAGAATGATTGCAATGTAGTCTTAAATATTGACAAAAAAAAAAATTCATTGTTGGAGCTATCATTCTCAACTCGTCCATGTCCTCATGTCTTCCTTCATAGATGCCTATAACTTTTGAATCAATGCATGTTTTTGGACCAAACCAGAAGTAGGTAGTGTATGCATTATTGCCATACATATGCTTCATTTTCCCCTTTTAGATCCATAGAAATTACCTGTATACTAAAAGTTTATCAAGGGTTAAACCATTGTTAACAACACCATTAGAATTAGCTTAGTGGTCAAGGAAAAAAGAGTTGGAGTAGTTAAAAACATAAAAATCTATGTTCGATCCCTAATGTGACTATCTTTGTAAATTATTATTAACATATTTCTTGGTGTTTTAAAAATAGAAAAGAGTGAAATAAAACAAAAATAAAATAAAATAATTAATTAATAAATTTAAATTAAGATGAATTCCAAATCCACACAAAGCATGTCATTGCGACTGCCAACCATGGCATCATGGAAGAGTGAGGAAGGAGAATAAGTAAGCTTTCAATATTATGATCAAAGGAGGCCCTCAAGTAATAACAACGATTGTGTGATGATTGACAATAATAGATGAGAAAAGAAAATGTGGAATAATAATAGAAGGAAACGAAAAAGAAAATAGAGTGAGAATGAATTATCAAAAATTGCTTTGTTGAGAAAGGACAACAAAGTACCACCAGTTGAGACAAATATAATAAACTTATATTTTCTATTTTTTCTCAAATTTTTCCTTTCTTCCTCCTTCCTTTTCTCCCCTATGTTGGTTTATCATTATTTTTCTTTTAATGTACTTTTTCTTATTCTTGATCTATTTATTGCTTACATTGCTTGGTTCATCTTTCCTCTTACTAGTTGAAGAGATTCCTTTATGACTATAAAGAAATGCAATGGCAAGGATGGATTTAAATATATTTAAACTTGTTTTGTGATGTATTTAATGAAAAAACTTAATTGTAATGAGAATGATAGTTTGAATTATTGATCATCGTAGATCCTCAACATTTTTTGCTCATGTTGTGCTAAATTCTTTGGTTTTTAAAGAATTAAAAAAAACTATTATATATATATATATACACACACAAATTTATATTTATATTTATGAATAAATGGTCATACACGCACATGTTTCTTATAAGTTTGGATTTGTTGGCGAGTGAGGAAAAAAATTGATTTTCTAAATTTTGTTTCACTTTTTTTTTAATAATTGAGTTATTATGATCCTTTATTTTTCAACAATGGACTAGTTTGGTAATTGATGATACTAACACTAATAAATTTAACTATTTGATGCTTGCTAACTAAAATAATTATGACTATATAATAAGTCATTCTTTTCACTCTAGTACAAGGATGGAGATTACATGTTGGAATTTTGTGTGGTGAAAAATATATTTTTTGGATTCTTAAATATTGAGTGTTTAAGGAATGATTATGCAACATTTAAATGATCTCTAAGAGGAATAAGTATGTAGAGAGAAAAAGAAATTATTGATATGGTCAAAGTAAAAGTTTTAGGGACCATATAATTAAAAATGTAATGCATATCTAACATGTTAGGGACCATAATGTTCATTGTTTTCTTTTAATTTTAATTCTTGTTTGCTTTAAATAAATCAACTTAAAATATCTTTTGTGGTTTAAATTAGGATGTGACTATGAAATTGTAAATGGGCTTTCAATCCCTAAGATCATAGTCAATTCTCATTGTTTTAAGTTTAAAATTTTATTACTAGTAGCAGATTGGTATATTTTCAAAGTCTTGTTTAAGTTTTTAATGTCATTAACAAGGATCAATTTATTGATTCACAAAAAATCATGATACTAGAGTAACTAGACATGATAAATATTATTATTATGTATTTTATTTACAAAAGGATCATGAGACAACATGAAAAATGATTAAGAAAGATAGTAAAAAAAAGTAATACTTTTTATACTTAATAAATTATAGGGCAACTTTTTATCTTAAGTACAAAAACACCTACTTTTACGATGTTGTACCGACACTACCGCGACACCTACTATCATAATCTAACATTACCAATGTCACCAACCACCACCACCATGTCCTTATTATTCGTCGTCACCACCACCAATGTTATTATTGTCATAACAATTCTTATTATTATTGTCATCATTAAGATGATGATAATAATTCATTATGATAATTAATATTAAAAAAATATTGTAGTAGATTCAACATGACTTTGTTTATGTCATCATTATTTACTAAACAATGTACAAAATCAAAAGTTGTCTAGTAATTTGAACATTTACCTTATATAATTATATTTATCATGTACCTCACACACCTAATAAATACAATCTCTAATTAAAAGTATTTGTATAAATAAAAAAACTTTTTTTTTGTTTATTTCTTTTGAGTGCTTCTAGCATGAAGTACTTTAATACATGTCTCATCCATATACCACTAAATTGCTTGTTATTGTCGATTAAAAATGGAAGAAAAAAAAATAAAAATTATAAATATTTTTAATTTATACTAAATTAAAATCTAATGTATGAATTATAACTCAGGAGGATGATCGTTCTTATGGTTCAACCTAGAAAACATCTATTAACCCAAATTCAACACTGCAACTCATGGCATTCAACATAATTGAAAAACCACAATAAATACAAAACCTATAAGACTCCAAACTCATAACTAGTGCCTCAATCATACATAACAATGCAAACAAATAAAAATTGAGGGGAAAAAATAGTTGTCGAAGCATTAATGAAACAGTACAACAACCATTTATGGCTATTGTATGTTGCACCAATGCTTCTCATCCACATTCTTTGCGTCTCTCACACTCAACCCTAGTAGTGACAGCGTCACTTGCACCACCATCTCCTCTTTTCATACATTTATCTCTTCCCCTTTCTTTTTGGTAAGGTAGTGTTCTACTGTTTGAGACCGTTTTCTTCTTTTCTTTCTCTTTTCTTTTCCCTCATTTCCCTTTTCCTCATACTCTACTAGCGCCATTATCACACATTCACTTCCATACACTCTTTTTTCTCTTCTCCCTTTTATTGCTACTCTCTATCTTTGGTTTGCTCATTATCTCCCTCTTCCCAGGCAATGGAAGCTCTACATCTCACTCAACCCGTTGGAGTTAGAAGTCCCACCGATGCAAATTGGAGGGTTTGGGAGTTAGGATTTGGAAGAAAACCAAAACCTTCCGATTAATCCTTGAAATACTAATTAATTTCATCTAATAATACATTAATTATAGCTTAATTATATTATTTTAAATAAAAATATCAAATTATTTAATTAAAATCTTAGATTTGCTGTTACAAATTTTAGCTATTCAATTTTTAAATAATATATCCAAATCCAATGATAAAAATTACTGCTTCATCCATGAGACACCTAATTAGGTACTTCATGTTAGAATTTTACATTTCTTTTAAAATTTCTTTTTAGACCGACGTTACATCATACATGGACCACTTCACTTTTGTAAGTGTTCCACCATGTCCCACTATTTCTAACCATTGGATTTAAATCTATGGTAAATACTTTAATTTCTCATGTCGGGGTGAATCAACTTGGTACACCCTCCACCTCCCACCCGCTGCCTCCCCTCTCGCATCAAGCGCACATCGCTCCAAACTCGCACACCGTCATCTTCAGCTTCAGACAAAAAGACAATGTCAACAACCACCTCGACTTCTCCTATCCATCATCCATGTGCGGCCTCCGCTTTTGCGCCTGACAAGGCATCGAAAACAAGAGACCCATAGTGGAGTGACTACTTATCCTAGCTTAGATCTCGATCGGTGGTGACACCAACGTTGTTTCCTTTTTCAACTTCTTCCTTTGCCTCTAACCTTAACCTCCGCGGCCAAATCATCTTTGTGCAATGCAGTCTCGCGCAACCTGTCTTCGGACCTGCGGCACCCAGAGCACGTCGTGCACAACGCCTACGTTTGATCTGGCAACTGTACGAGAAGAAGCGTTGCGCGTTGATAACTGGATTCTCTGCTGGAGTGTTCATCCTGCTTTGTTTTCTGCCATGTTTCATGAAGGGAAAGCGGCGACGATTTGCAGTGGTTGACCCAAAACATTGCAGTGAGGAGGAGGAAGAGAAAATGAATATAAAATAAAATCTGGTACGGGTGGTGTATTATAAGATTGCAGGGTTGAGATGAATCCCATCATCCAAAAAAGTGGTGTCGCACATGGTAGCCTCCATCTTCTTTGTAATGTTTGTTATTCTATTTCTTTATATTAATAGGTCTACTACGTCAATTCTATCTAATTTTTTGTTGATGGTTTATGCATGGAATACTATATCCTATTCAAACGAAGAAATAAAAAAAGGCAAATCAAAAGATGGTTTAATCTTCTACCAATGATATCAGAATGAGATAGAGCACTGAGTCCATGGATTATTGGTCAAGTTAACAAGTTATTAACATGAATCAATATATATTGAATATATTAAGATATAGTATTGGAGATGTCAAAAAAAATATATATATAGCTTTAGAGAAGTGGTATAAAATTTTATATATTTAATATATATTGATTCATTTGATTTAATTAGTGATCCCTCAATTTGATTAATGACCCAAGACTTAATACTCTAACTCAATCGATGACGGATTTGATTCTGAAAATCCTGTCATATGTAATGACAAGACTGATCACGATTCTAGTTTCCAATTGAACTAGACGGTCTGGTCCAAGTTTAATAACGGTGCTTCTAACAATCAACCATTTCCTCGATCATCAAAAAGAAAAGATGACTAACAACGAAGATTTTCATTAATCACAAAGATAATGAAGGGGTCGCAAATAATTGGCAATGATGGTACTGCCACCAACACCCGGAAGATAAGATTGAGAGACTATAATGTGCCAAGAACTTTTATATCTACGAAGCATCGTGACACCCCAATAGATGGCCACGATCACAAAATTCCACCAGGGCTAATACAGGTGATTCAAGCAAATAGTTTTTTTGAGTTGTTTTCATGGAGGATCTTAGAGATATTCATACAACTTTGTGATACGGTGCGGATCCAAGGATTTAGGCCAAAAGCTAAGCAGTGACTCAAATATCTACCACATGGGAGTATCACAACTTGGGGAAGTGTTGACAATGAAATTTGTGGACAACTACTTGTCATCCACAAAATCATCCAAGATGAGAAGTGTACTCAAAGACTTTTCATCAAATAGAGGGCGAATCCTCTGACTGTCATCATGTCATATTATAGAGGATTCTATTTGAATCCTTTTATGAGGCGCTACTTCTCAACAAAGATATTGATGGATGCTTCTTGTGGAGGATCATACAATTTGAAGTCGCATATGAAAGTGTTGAAACAATTGAGAAAATGTCAGAAAACAAAAGTAATGTACAAGTAGAAAAACAAACCAAAAGAGGAGTCACATAGGTATATATACCTTGCTACGCTAGTTTGGCTCAAAATAAGTTCATAAGCCAACAAATAGCAATTTTCAGTCAACAACGTGGCCCTCTAAAAATTAATCCAATGGAGGCACTTAACTTGATATGTGACTTGTTTGGGTACACAGTAACATTAACTATGAGGTTTCATGTGAACTATATCAACAATTATACAAAGCAACAAAACAATCCTTATTCTAACGCATACAACCTAGGATCGATGAATCATCCAAACTTCTCCTAAAGAGATCAAGTACACCAAGCTCCTCACACACTAAGGGGGTATTAATATAGAAATTCATCTTAAATGCCTGTTGAAAAAAAGTCTTCACCCGAAATTACAATGGAAAATTGACTTTGAAAATTTCTTCTTTTGTCTAGAAGACTACATAATTTTAGAAACAAAGGATGCCTCCATAAAATTTGGAAGCACAAGAGGAAAGCTTGCTAAACAGGCAAGACAATTATCAAAAAGGCCTCCAAACTCATTGTCTAGTAATAATGTCCAAATCCTAGAAGTATTAGCATGTCAGCCATCACTACCAGAAGTAGAAAGGTAATTTCTTCTCAAACCTAAAAAAGTAAATGAGAACAAGAATGAAGATCAAGAGGAGAATCGTTTAGTGTTGTTTTTTTTATATATTTAAAATATATATTATATATATGATAACACTATAAAAGCATGTGTATGTTCACAGTTAACAATTTACAGTGTGTTTGGTTCTATATCGGTTCA